GGCAGTTAAAAATGGTGCAGTAACTGACAGGACAGAGAGTCAGGAAAAACTGCAGCCTCTAGCAGATATTGTACAATGCTACTTTATTGAAACCAACATGGAGCTAATGCATTGTTCTGGTGAAAATATTTATATTAATAATACCAAATATCTAGCGTTGAGAGACTCTTGTTCTCAAATAACTTTGTGTCATACTGATATTGTCCCTCAGGGAGATATCATTCAAAATGAACAAATGGCCATAAAAGGGATTGGGACATAATTAATTAATCTACCCATGGCTAAAGTACGTATGAATTATCAAGGGTGGAGTGGTGCGTGGAAGGTGGCCATTACAAATCAAATTCCTGCCCTATGTTTGATTGGGCTAGACTTATCTGAGCATGTCAAAAGTGTTTTGACCACTACTTGCTCACAGATAGAAAAGATAGAAAATCCTGATGAAAATAGTGAGATTCCTGATGAAGAATGAAGTGGAGATGAATCAAATGAAGTAGCTGAAGTAGTAGCTTTAAGGAATCATCATGAAAACAGTTTTAAACAAGAACAAAAACAGGATTCTACTTTGCAGCAAGGTTTTAATCTGGCCAGAGAAGAACCAGTAACCCCTGAATCCCCTGAAAGATTCATGGTGGACAGAGACTTATTATATTTTATTTATTTATTTATTTATTGGACTTATATACCGCCCCATAGCGCTACAAGCACTCTCCGGGCGGTTTACAATTTTTAATTATACAGGCTACACATTGCCCCCCCAGCAAGCTGGGTACTCATTTTACCGACCTCGGAAGGATGGAAGGCTGAGTCAACCTTGAGCCGCCTACCTGGGATTTGAACCCCAGGTCGTGAGCACAGTTTTAGCTGCAGTACAGCGTTTTAACCACTGCGCCACGAGGATTCCCTCGCTGATTCACATGTAAGTTGCATTATGTAACTCACAGCAGTGAATTGCTACTAAGTAACAAAATGCTATTCATAATACTAGGCACGTGTCACTAGGCATTACCTTGCAATACACCAATACTCATTAGTAAGCATCATTCACCATGGTGTGGTACATAATTTAACCTACAGATATATATCTCACCAACAGGCCTCTGGCCCTTATTTAATGAAACAAGTTAAGGATGTTTTTCAGAACATCCTAGCTTTTCCATGACCACCATAACCACTTACTGGTAAAAAAAGCCTTTGAGAAGCACAGGGTTTGAATAGTTTCTTCCATTCTGCAGCATTCTCGGTTGGAAATGAGATGGGATACAAAGTGTAATTAAATTTTTCTTGGTATGACAAACTATCAAGCTGGAAAAAAAATGCCAGTGTTAGTATTCAATTAAAGGTATACAATAATAAAAAAACACTAAAAAGCCAGCTTAAGTTTATACTGCACTACTTCCCATTTTGGCTGTAACAGTAAATGTTTCCAAGGCTATAAAATTAATCAAACAGTTGTCAAAACAGCAAGCAATGCTGAAATGTTTCTTGTGGACTGAGATGGTGTGAGAGGGTCCCAGTGTTAGGCCATCCCCCATGCCTTCTACCCCAACTGTCCCTCAGGTAATTTTTGCTGAACCACCCTACCTCTGGAAGGTGGCCATATCACCCCATTTGAAGCCTCCAACTTTGCCAAAATTACCAGTGGAGGTGAAAGAGGAAAACAACAACAGAGAAGGCTTGCCTAGAAGCTGTAAGAACAGATGAGACCCACCAAGAGAAGTCAGGATTCAAAGGATCTAGAAGGGAGGAAGGAGATTCTGGCATTATGAAAGGGAAGGGGAAGGCAGTGAATGGAAGGACTGGTGGTGGCAGGTTGTGAAGGAGGAGGAAAGGAAGTAGAAGACCTATCCCTATGACCCCCACTTCCACCCAACTACAGAATTGGAGGAGTCAGACACAATTTAACTACCCCAGGCAGTTAGAGGCAGAAGTACAGGCCATCCAATGCATGACAAAGGAGAGAACAACTTTAAGCCTCTTGCACAGGTACTCTAACTACCTCTTTGAATTTTGAAAGAGGCTCATATAAAGAAAAGAAACCAAGACCAATGGACAGAGGCTGACAGAATTTGGTTTGCTTGGTGTACACCTAGACATGTGTGGTTGTCAGAATCATGGCCCTCCTTCAGTACTCACTGTCTTGGTCCCTATTAAGTGCTCTGCTGCCCATAATAAAACAGAAACTCGTGCTCTCTTCTTCGCCTCCACAACACTGAAGCTGGGAAGAGGTGGTGTTAATTTCCACCAGTGTGAAAACAAGCTTCCACTTCACTCTTCATCTGAATTCTGAGCTAGAAAATGGAAATAGCTGTGACCCTTTGTCTGCCCGGCACTTATTTCAGCCAATATGCAGTACATCACAGAAGTGAGTACAGTACACCCCCTCAGATTTCATAAATATTTTAGTATATCTTTTCATGTGACAACACTGAAGAAATGACACTTGGCTACAATGTGAGTAAACAGTGAGTAAACAGCTTGTATAATAGTGTAAATGTGCTGCCCCCTCAAAATAACGCAACACACAGCCATTAATGTCTAAACCACTGACAACAAAAGTGAGTACTATTATGCTTTTTGCTTATCCAAGAAATATTATATCCCAAACAGAAAGTAAAAAATAACCAGGTTTTGCCAAATTCAGATTCAGCCAGCAGATTTATTACCCTTTAAGCCACTGGTGGGAAACAGATTAAGACAGTTCTGAACACCATCTCCCACAGTCCCTCAACACTGGCTTTAAGAGGGGGCGGAGTGACGGCAGCGAGAGCAGAGGGAAATTCCAGGGCTCTAGGAACCCTCTACAAACTCTGGATCAGCAGACACCCCCCCCCAACAGTGGAAGGGGGGGGCAAGAACCTACAAGAGAGTAGGTCTTACAGCTAAGTGGAGCAGAACTCCAAATTCAGACGGCAATCTGTCTTCGGTAGAGTACCCTTTCCCAAAAAGCCTCTGATCCAGGAGATGCCATGTCTAGTGATCTAGCTTCTTAACCCCGTCCCAGGGGAAAGTTTGGAGAAACTGTATTTTCTTGACTCTATGTGAGTACCTGATGTTTATTTCTCAGGATGCAAGTTTAGCTCAAACTGAGCTGAAGTGGAAATAAAAGGCTGGAGACTTTCTTATCAACAACCTAAACAAAACAAGCCGCTGAGAAACCTGTAAAGAAAGAGGAGGGCTGGCTGCCAAATAAAGAGATCAAAAGAGCAGTTAATTAAGGGGTAATTAAGGCATAAGCTGGTTACTACTTAATGGTCCCTTTAACTACCCCTGAGATTTTCACATGCTTAATTTCTATTGTTATTCTGTGCCTGAAACACTGGCTAAATCTTAACTTGTCACACGTTAAAGGAACAAAACTGAGAGCTGTGGAACAGACAGCTCTACCATCCCCGTCTTGCCCTGTTGTTTAAGAAGACCTGAGGCTTTAAAGAGTGTGTGGGAGGAACTGCATGCATGAAGAGTGGGGATTCCTATGCTGACTTTGTGTGGTCAGTGGATGATGGACTACAGATGTGGTTTGAACAGATGAGCACAATTAAGTAGAAAATTGATATATAAATCCTGTGTGCTACGTGGGAGTTGGGCCTGTGCCCACCCACTTAGGACAAAGATTGGTCTGTTTATTGTTTTACTGTGCCTGGATGGAATTTGGATTACATGAAGAAAGAAGGACCGGATAGTGTGGAGCAAGGGGAGGTGGAAACTCAGGTGGACCTACTGGAACTGTAAGAAGCTGCATCAGTGTGCCTGAACTTTTAAAGCCTGAACCGTTGTGAAATTGGACATTGTTATGCATTTGATATATTTATGGTTTAGGTACAGTTAGGTCCCTTTTAAGTTAAGAACTTTAGGGGCAAGCTCAAACAGAAAGGGCAAACAGAGGTCTACTTCCCAGTGGACACTGCTATTTTAAAAACAATCTATATTCAGGATATAGAAATGCCAGCTAAGGGCAGCAAAGAAGACTTTTCCAGTCAATCTACAAATCTATCTAAATTAATAACTCAAGATCCTTTTAAGAATTACATGCAGGAGATGAAAACAAATATCATTAAGCAACTTACAGAATAAATGAAAGCGCATACTTTAGAACTTAAAGCCCAAACTTCAGAACTTAAAGCGGAAAATTGAACAAAACACTTAAAAAATCATTTCATGCAAGCAGTAGAAGCAGCATAACAAAGTATCATGGAAGTGGAGCAAGAGGTGGAGGAGATAAGGGAGGGGAGAGTCTCAGACCAGGAACGCTTGATGTATCTGGAAATAGAACGAGAATCATATTGCTCAAGAATTCAAAATATTGAAGAGGAAGAAATCAAAGACCTAGAGCAGTTGTTAAGTGAGGAATTAACCCCACAAATGGGAATGGAGCCAGAGGAATTTCAACAATCAACAGAATTTTTTTTCAGAATGGGCACAAGATATACCAGGAAAAATAAGCTACCAAAAAAGGTGAATATTAAATTCCTGAGAAGACCAATAAAAGATAAATTATTAAAAGTGAGTAGAGATAATAAACTCAAAGTCAAAGGAGCAGAGATTAGAGTGCTAAAACAAGTCCTTTAGGCCATGCAACAAAAAGGCAAGAATATGCATTTCTGACTAAGATACTGGGGCAAAGAGGCATTCCATTTATGTGGCTAACAGGGCATCTTCATAAATTGGGACTCTAAAATTACCTTAAATAACACAATGAAGGCCAAAGCATTTTTAAGAGAAATGAGATACAAACTTGAGTTGAAACAGATGAAATTTTCAGAGGAGGATATGGAGGAGGAAGATGGCGACGAGGAGATAATGGCACAAGCAGCTGGGAGAAAACCCACCTCTCCAATGATAACAAGACGTAAGCAGAAAGCAGGAGAAAAAAAACAGTAGTAAGTCATCTCAAAATATCTAAAGCAAAACAGTATCCTGTCAGTGAACATGAAATGACTTAATTCGGTCCAGAAACGGAAATTGATTTTCAACAATTTAAGTAAACTAAAGTATGAATAATCTGTATCTAAGACTCTCATCAAAGACAATGGTAGACCTCTGTTAAAAAACTCAAAACTAGGTAAAGTCTTCACAGTATCTGACCAGCAAAAGAAAAGAGTGGCAACCTATGTAAAAAAGGAGCAGACCCTAAACTGATATATGCCTTGAAAGATGGAAGAATACTTATGGTTAAAGTCCATAAAGCGGGAGAAGAAATGTCTGGAAGTCCACAGCTGCCCATCACTGCTTTAATCATCATTTTAGCAATTACATCACTACCCTTGAATACCTACCATTTCTCTGAAATTAGGATGTAACAGATCTTCTGCAAAAATATGAAACTGTAGAGGTTTAATGCTGAAAATAATGGCAGATCTCAACATAGTAACTGTTTCTTCCAGCCTTTCACCACAGGCTACCACTGCCAAGTGCATCTTCTCAGAAGGCTCAGTTTTCACAAAATTGTACCTAATATAAACAAAACAAGATGTAGTAATTATTTCCAAAGTTCAACTTTAAATATAACTATTTTATGTTACAACATACTGTAATGTTTATTTGTACATTTCTTATTTGTACATTGTTTTCACATACAAATAAAATGTTAAGATCTGCAGGAAATTCAGAGAAGCAACACGGATATGAAGAGAAATGACAAACGTTTAATGTTTTAAAATCAAATATTTTTGGTTTTTTAAAACAACTAAATGCATCATAAAAACAGAACAACTTCTATTTTTACCGTTCATACTTATGCTATTTATTTAGAGGTGTTTATGTTTGTCTTTTTGGACTATACAGAGAGCAACACCATGAATCTGCACATCTCTAAATTTTATATATTTATTTATTTATTTATTTTATTTATATCCCGCCTATCTAGTCACTTAAGATCACTCTAGAATATTTTGTTGAGATTGTCTGTTTCACACTGTCTATTATAATAATAATGTCCCAATATATATTATTACTGAATCTGCACATTGTATATCCTTAATCTAATTTCTAACCGATAAAAATAGCTATGTATTATTTTATTATTGGCTAGCCAATAAATAATGATAAACAAAATAGACTAGCCATTAAAAGCTAGTTCAAAATATAATAGTAATCGTGACTAACAGAGCATTAAAAATTAGCATGAACACAATGTCAGGACATTTATTTATTTCAATTAGTTTGAATAGACTGCAGACACATGAAGTGAACAGTAAAATAATCTCCAAGTTTTTCAAAATTCCACAAAGGCAATGATTCTTTCACACTATCTATGTATCCATAGAAATTGTTATTTTTTTATTTCATTCATTCTTCTACATTTATTGCTTTCTGTCTGTTGTCGGCATCTTGTGCTTTCTGTGAGTTTTAAAAAAAATTCTTGTGGTGTGTAGCAGGAGTTTGACGGTTGTTTTCTCTATGTTTATGCTCCCACCTTTGTTGCAAACTGCCCAGAGCAGTGGCATGGATGCATGGATGGATGGATGTGTCAGGACTGGGGCCTTGCCGGAACCTGGCAACCTTAATGCAGGCAGAATTGGCCCCATCTCTCTGGGGAGAACTGATCTAAGGATTGCAGGACTGGGCCCTTTTCCTGCAGCTGTTGCCCAGCGCCTCAGGAGTGCCACCTGTGGAGGCTGAACTGGAATAACAGGCCTTCCCTCGTTGTTCCTGCCTTGCCTCTTCTGCATCTCAAGACCCTACTGCCTTGATATGGTTCCTCCTGGCTTTGACCCCTGGACTGTCTGACCACAATTTGCATCATCCTTCCACCCAGCTGCTGTTTGGATTCAAAAACCCAGCTGGTTGGTCTCTGCTTGTGCTGTGGGGTTGGTTCTACTTTGCTCCTGTGGTCTTGCTTTGGACTAGGTCCTGGTGCTTCTTTGATGGATGATACTTTGAAAGGGAGAAAGTGAAGTGCACACATTCGTTCAAACACTAGTTGATTCCTGGAAACTCACCAACATTTTAGTGTAGTATATTTGTTTTTCATGTAATACAGTGGGTTCAATGCCAGATTTATCCTTTCTTAAGGAAATCATCTTGAAACCATTCATTATAGTACAGTTATTTCTAACCTTGGATCCCCAGACTAAAACTCCCAGAAATCCTGACCAACACAGCTAGTGTTGAAGGCTTCTGGGAGTTTTAGTTCAGGAACATCTGGAGACTCAACATTGGGCACCACCCTTATGGTGTCAACACAGTATTTTCTGTGACTCATGGGCTTTCAATTTGAGAACAAACTCCTGGCATCTTCCATCTATGCCACACAAGGGTAGAAAAATAAATGTGTCCTATAATTGCTTCAGTTAAATGTCTAAACACATTGAAGCAGTGTTGAAGCCAACTCTACTACACAAAGTACGCTGTTTCAGATCAAAACAAAACACTAGTTAACTAATTTGTAATTTACTCTTGTTCAAACTCCTGCAACTTTCCCTGTTTGAAAAACAAGAATCTAAAGATCAGTTCATTGATGGAATTCTTAAATACAAAAAGAGTGAATCAAGAATTATTTACTCCCATCTTCTGTTTAAAGGGACAAATAAGCATAGCTAAATGATTCCTAGATCCTCTTCTCTTAAGTCTTTTAGTGGCTTCAACCAAAATCTGTCATTCTCCTTTCACAAAGCTGGCAGTAAGATGTTCTTACTGAAAGAAACTGGAAAGTTGGCTAGAATGAGTCAGGATTAACAAAGCACCTGAGAAGCACTATGAGAGAGATGATATAGCTCTGACTCTTGATCAATTTCTTTATTTTTCTCAGCTATTTTTCTGCTATATCAGATATGTGAATTTTAATGAAGGAAGAAAGGAACATTTCAAGCTTGCAGTCACCTATACTTTTTGAAAACAACAGTAGCAGTGGGATATAACCATTAAGGTTAGGCTTCAAAGACCAATTTTTACTTCCTACCCATGCATGTTACTCCCAAGACGTATAAGAACACTTTCAAACAAAGTAAAAGATTCACAAGCAATGAAAAAATCAAAACACACACACACAAATACATAAAAAATAATACAGCACTTTTCACAGATCCTCATGCTTGTTCAGGTCTATTCTAAATACAGTATGGGGTATTTGTGCCCCTGGAAATACAAATATTACACCACAGGTGCCTGGAAATTCAAATCCCCCCCCCCAACTGGTCTAGTTACTGGTCACTGCACAGCATGTATGGCCAGCATAATTCCCATCATGCCAATAATGGAAGTAGCCCAGCCCATGCTTCCCCATATATCTAACTACTCCATCAAGGAGGTGGGATGTTGAATCTCCCCACTCAGCTGTTGAGTGGTCAGCTGCATGGGGAGATGGGGAAGTGTTGGCCAGCCTACTTCCATAGTTGGCACAATAGGAACGACATTGGCTGCATGCACTGAGTGGTGACCAATAATTAGACCTGCTGGTTTGGGGGGAAGGACTGGAATTTCCAGGTACATGTGGTGCTGATATTCATATTCATATCCCCAGGGATACAAATACAAATATCCCATGTTAGTCTATTCTGAAATATTTGCTAAGTCTGACAGAGAACTATCAAGAACATATATTTATTATTTATATAAAATTTTTACCCCACTCTTTTCCTTTAAAAGGGATCCAAAGTGGTTTACATCATTAACTGTAAGTATACATATCCTGTTCAAGTTGGTGCAATGTAAAGTTTTTCCTATGAAAGTGTGCCAGGCCTTATGCCCCAGCAGCCAACATAATCGATCTCATGACTCACATCGTTGTACATTACATGCTGCAGTTGTGTAACTGATTGCCTGGTTCACGACTGTGTAATTTATGGTGTGGTTGAATGATTCATTGTTAAGTTCATGCCTGTTGCACAACACATTTGCAGAAGTGCTTTGTGGACATGAATTCCCTGCCCCCATTGCTGGTATCCTGTTATATCACCAACTGCTTCTTATCTACAATAGCAGTTTGAGAAGCACAGGTCCTCTTCATGGTGCAACTCTTTGGGTCTTAGACACAGCATTCTTAAAATCACAGAAAAAGATACCCAAGACCATTCTGTATAACAGTATTAAGGAACCGCATGAAGCATGTTTCGGTTGAACTGAAATTAAATTCCATTGCAATAAAGGAAGGATCTGTACAAAGCAGTAACTAGTAAATCACTTCCAAGAGATTCATTAGTAGTTTTCCCAAACCATCTATGTACACACTGTGCTAAATATTGCTAAGTTTGCCTCAGGGCCTGTACAGACTCGCCGTTTTAGGTGCAGGGTGGATCAGGCTACAAAGGGTCTGTTGAGGTCCGGGAGAGGAGCGATGTGCCATTTGGTGTGTTTCATCCATCCAACAGCAAAGAACCCATTTATAAACCAATTAACTGTCAATTAAGTACTTCCGCTGATCTTCTGCGGAGGGTCAGGGGAAGTGAAATTAATTTTTTGACGTGGCTCGTCTATTCCTCTGTCAGTGTCATTTCACTTTCTTCTTTACCCCCTCCCTGCTTCCCTTCCCTCATTCTCTCCCCACTTTTTTCTCACTTTCTCTCAGAATCTGCAGTCACAATGGCAGTTGGAAGCTGAAGCTGCCATTTCCCAGCTAAACAGGCTAAGTAGCAAGCGTGCCAAAAAGAATGCATGTCTTACTGCTGGGCCAGAAAGATGTGCGACAGTTCTTAAACCAGAAGACTGGTTTTCTTCTTTGACATGGAGTGGAAGGCTTGCCCCCCCCCACGAGGGGTCATTGAACATCAGAGTGATTACGGGTACAGGGAGATATGGCGCTGGCACAGCCCCAACTCGTTTTAGAAGAACGGTGAACAGATGTTTGAAGGCTGTTCACTGTTCTGGGACTGTGACCAACCGTCAGTATCGATGAAGCCAGATCAGCTGACCCTCTAAAACTGGTGTTGTTGAATGCCAGGTCTGTATCTAACAAATTCCAGATTCATGATCTCATTCTGGAGGAGGAGGTAGATCTGGCGTGCATAACCGAAACCTGGATGGGCGGGAAAGGGGGTGCACCCTTGACCCCTGCCTGTCCTCCCGGTTATGCTGTCCAGCACCAGGGCAGACTGGAGGGGCGGGGGGTAGCCATTGTGTATAAAAATCTGGAGGTTACTAGGCGCTCCACGGTGGTGAAGCCAGGTTTGAATGGGCCACAGCAATAATTAATGGGTGTTTTCTGGAGGACAGGGTTCCTCTTGCCCTCAAAGAGACACTCATTAGGCCCATTAGGAAGAAACCTAATTTGACGGCAGACGATATTGGCAATTATAGGCCCGTGGCAATGTTTCTCCCTTTTCTTTCTCAAAAAGAGTTTAAATTGAAATCTGAAAATAAAAATCTTGAGGAAGCCTACTAATTTAATATCCTTAATCCAAAACACAACCATCTGTCAAACATACTGGAACAGTTCAGGCAATGCTCACTCAAGTTAGTAAGATAGATATGCACAAGCATTTTGCACATGTACTCTATCTTTATATTACATTCTTTTCTCCTGTCTTTTGAACCAATGCAGTAATCCAAGGATTCTTCAATTAAATACAATTTTGTTTTACCTCTAAACTAATAAACCACAGTTACCAAGTTTAAAACCTGTGTGCCTGTGAATGGCTGGCTTCAATATTAGATTTATATGCCCTCTCTCCTTCCCCTAAACTCTCAGATTCAGTGAATTAGTCTTTAGTACAAATGATAATTTTCTCTGTAGATGTTCTAATTACATGTAATTTCCCCACTTTGTCTGTGGCTGGTGGTGCTTTACTTTGGCTGAGATAAGAAGCTACAGCTTACATTTAAAGGAAATAGCCAACTGAAGCAATACAAATGAGAGAAGGAGGGAGTACAGAAGAACAGGATTTGTTCATGAAATACAAAATCATGGTATACTACCCTACAGAAGAAAATGATGCTTTTGTGAAGAAAAAGATGGAGAAGGCAACAGTCTTATTTCTGAGGTTAAATGCCTATGTTCAAACATAATAAGAAGTGCTGGATAGTTCGGTGGTTTATGTATCTGGCTGTGGAGCCAGAAGATGGAAGTTAATTCCATACTTTGCCTCTCAACAAGGGCTGGACTTGATAATTTCCAGCTCTGCAGATCTAAGATGATGACGTTGATGATACTATAGTTTTCAGGTGCCCCTCCTCCAGTGTCCAGGAAGAGGAGATTGGAATTTTTAACTAATTGCAATTTACCATTATGTCTGAAACTGAATCAATTAGGTCAGTGGTGGCAAACCTTTTTGGGCTCGCGTGCCCAAACTGGGGAAAAAACAAACAAACAAACAAAAAAAAAGGGGCAGAAGAACCGGAAGTGGCGGTGGAAGGGGGAATCCTGGGCACGGAGGTGCCTCGAGACCCCACTCCGGATCCGCCGCCAGCAGTAGCTGCTCCAGACCCTGACCCACCGCCTGTCCGGGCACCAACACTGCGGTTACAGCGGCAAAAGTAGCAAAAATGCCAAAGACTTGAGGCAAAACAGAGTCCCGCCTCCAAATGGATAAAAATGACTATTTTAAAAAATCAAATTGATTTAAATCACAATTTAACTTTAAAAACATCTTAAAGGATGATGCTGTTAAGGTGCTACATTCAATATGCCAACAAGTTTGGAAAACTCAACAGTGGCCAGAGGACTGGAAAAGATCAGTCTACATCCCAATACCAAAGAAGGGCAGTGCCAAAGAATGCTCCAACTACCGGACAATTGCACTCATCTCACACGCCAGCAAGGTTATGCTCAAAATCCTCCAAGGTAGGCTTCAGCAGTATGTGGACCGAGAACTCCCAGAAGTACAAGCGGGATTCCGAAGGGGCAGAGGAACTCGAGACCAAATTGCCAACATGCGCTGGATTATGGAGAAAGCCAGAGAGTTCCAGAAAAACATCTACTTCTGCTTCATTGACTATGCAAAAGCCTTTGACTGTGTGGACCACAGCAAACTATGGCAAGTCCTAAAAGAAATGGGCGTCCCTGACCACCTTATCCATCTCCTGAGAAACCTATATGTGGGACAGGAAGCAACAGTTAGAACTGGATATGGAACAACGGATTGGTTCAAAATTGGGAAAGGAGTACGACAAGGCTGTATACTGTCACCCTGCTTATTTAACTTATATGCAGAATACATCATGCGAAAGG